GAGCATTCCCCCCATTACATGACCAAAGTTAACAAATATAACACTCGTAAGAAGTGAGTGGCTAGTTCAAAGATGATCTAATTTCAAGAAAGTTGAACAAAGCTCATTTTATAAATAGAAAGGAGTGCCTTTTAAATCTCCCTGATTATCTGATGCTCTTGGGTCCAGGAAGAGCTGCTGCAGCAGATCGGTGTCAGATGTGGCACCTTCCACGAAGAAGGCCATTGCTCCCTCTGCCCAGTGTGGCAGCCAGGAACTGTCCACATGGCACCCTCTGATCCAAAGGAACAAAACTGAAACCTTTTGATCAGGTTAGGAGGCAGCTTTTATCTGGGGTCCTCACTGCGTTTAGAAAGAGACCAATGCTTTAAGCTTACGAACTGGCCGGGGGAAGACAGCCACCACAATCCGAGTTCCCATTTAGGAAGACGTGTGAAGGTTTAAAAAAAAAAAACCTTGATAAAAGAGTTCTGGAAAAGGTTATCGAATATCAGATTGGACTTTTTTTTCCCCCTCACAAAACACCACATTTAATAGACCCTAGCAAGTAAGTTGGCTCAGGCCTCCATATACGTCTGAAAGCTCTTTAGGGAGACCAGGACGTTTTCTTTGCTGGGGGTGGGGTTCAGGAGGAGTAAGAAGAGTAAAGGCATTATTGATTATACCCGCATTAGATCAGCTTATAAACCAAACTCAGTTTCACCTTACCACATGCTTCTGTAGTAGGACCTTAGCTTCATATTATAGGTGAAAAAAAGCAAAGCTCAGAGGTGAACATGTCACAACCCAGGTGGTTTATATTTCAAAATTCAAGTTCTTTCCACTCTGCTTTGTATCTTTCTCACACTCTGGTACTCAGGAGATGGAGGGATGTGGAGAGGGACCTTGGAAGGGGTTTCTCAGGGTAATAAGAGTGGGGTGAGGGAGACCTTCAGAGTGTGGGGGAAGAAACAGGGCTGTCTCTCTGCCCACAGAATGAGGTGGCTTCTAACTGAAGCTCTGCTTAAGACATATACCTGCCTTCCTCTGACTTACTGCGGCAACTTTCGACTTGGAACTAAGGGCTGCTATTTTCCAAAGGTGCATTCTCTAATAAGTCTTTGAGTCCTTCTGGGCAGAGCTGCTCGATAAATCTTGTTACCCTCTTGGAAGAGCCCTAGACTCTGCCACCCCTCCAGTCCAAGGATGACTGAGGGAAGTGGCATAGATGTAGTTAGGGCTTCCCAACTTGAACCCTGGTTTTCGACACTCGTCACTTCTGTTACCTGCAGAATATGTGGATGAATGGGCTCTAAACTTGGGTTTGATTGTTTTCCCTTCCTCTGTTTGAACTTGAAAGCTATGCCGTCAGATATTCTGAATTAACTGCTTGTTCGATTACTTTTAATTCTGGTTGACCTCAAATGGTATTCGATGCCTTTATATAATGGAGTCGGTTATCTGAAGATGTTCTCAATCCGTACAGGATAAATTGAAAATGTTATCAAGTTAATTGAAGCTCTGATTAAGACCTAAGCCCCTTTCCGCAGTCCTGCCAACGCCCCGGGGTGGCACCTTTGGTCATTTCCATTTCCTGTCTCCCACGACCTACTAAGCTCAGTCCACACAGCTGTTCGTTCTCCTGTGGCTAGTTTGTCAATAGCTTCACTATTTTCCTGTGGAAGTAGAGTTCAGTTTATTGAGAGAGAAGGATTTTACAACATTTGTGGAATGTGAACTAGACCAAATCCCTTCGGCCACCTTTATTCTTTCCTAGCACACTCCTGAAGTTGTGGCAAGGAGTCTGAACTTCTCTGCTATTATCCATAGAACTTCATGAAATTTAGTTGTTGGATGGCTTGGGTCTTTTCCAATTCTTGGGTCTAAAACTCTAGTTTTTCTTGCCATGTAGAATGGGCATAAAACATTAAAGCTTCAATGACACTCCAAAAAGGTTTTCAACAATGTTTGAAAACACCGAGGGGCACTAATTCGTTTCAGGGTAATTTTTAAAAGACATTGACTACATTGCAGATGCAGCAGAAATTCTACAGAGCAACTGGTTTTTCGTGTTTGCACAAGTAGAGGAAATGTGGAGAAACCCCACTACATGTTGATGTGTGTCCCATCTTTTAGAATCTCCCTGGTTCCAGAGGAAGTTGCACCCTAGTGCAGTACTACTCAGAGCGATTCACCGACCAGGAGTGTCAGCACTGCCTGGTACGTCATTAGACAGAAATTCTCAGGCCCCACCAGGAACTGTGGGGGTGGGAGTCAGCAACCTGAAGCTCTTGAAGGTAAAACTAAAAAACTTTGTTGTTTTCAGTGAGCCTGAAGTTTGGAATCAGTGTACCTAAGCTGTCATGAGGGAAACCCTGCTCCTCTAGAGCAGAGCTGCACCAATGGGCTTTGTACCATGCTGGACATGTTCTAGAGCTGCACTGTCCAACATGGCAGCCACTAGGCACATATGACGATTCAGCACTTGAAATGTGGCTACAGCAACTGAGTTGCTTATTTCATTTTAATTAAATTTACATTTAAATGACTACATCTGACTAGAGGCTAGCATATTGGACAGCATGGGTCTATCACCTACCATCAATCTATGTATGTATGTATCTATATCTATTGATCTATCGATCATCTATCTATCTATCTATCTACCTATCGTCTATCATGTACCTATCTATGTACCCCCCTCCCTACCTGTATGATTTAAAGAGTGGCATGATAATTATTTATCACAGCCATTTGAAGAGAACTGTTGTTTTTGGATCACTGACGTAACAGTAAGAAGTTCCATGTCTCTGTAGACTCTGTAGTGAATGAAGAAAGGACTCTAGAGACACACAATGTAGAGTTAAAGTCAGTTTTGTTGTTTATAACTCATGGGATCTTGGGCAAATTACTTAACCTTTCTTAAGAATTTGCTTCCTGATTTGTAAAATTAGGTTGACAAGGGAATTGTGAGCATTATAAGGTGAGATGAGGCAATGTCTTGTGGCCCAGGACACACACACACGCACGCGCGCACACACACACACACACACTTACACACACACACACCTGGATGGTTCTACAAAACAAAACAGCATTTACACTGGTATTTCTATTCCAAGTTATTTCATTTTTAAAATATTAATCTTGTCTCAATTAGCTGATTTCAGTAATCAAAAAGGGCTCTTTTGCACAGTACGAGAACCAGAGACATTATGTAAAATGCTTGGTATACAGGATATAGTCAATCAGTAGTATAGTATTGAAGGGTTCTTCCTTTTACACACATAGCCCATGTCTAACTCATCCTTTCTTAGAGCGCTCTGTGAATGTGATCACACCACTGCACGCTCCCTCCATCTTGTCTGCCTCTCCATGCATCCCAGGGGCAGACATGATGGGTGACTCTTCCCAAGAGTAAACTCTTTGCTCTGCTCACCCTCACCTACATGCTTTTGGTTCCCACTCTTTTTCAGAGCCTGGTGGTCCAGTTTCCTGATCAAATTTGCAAGCTCCCTAATATATCTCTGATAATTTTATTCTGTGATAAATTACTCAGAATCAATTTCTGTTTCTTCTAACAAGAACCCTACTCATCTGTGCCTCAAATTTCATGCCTCCAGGAAGCAACCCAGGGATTACAGGTAGAAAAATGACATCTGACTAGCTAAATTACCAACTTTTCTTTAGATAAAGATGGGGATAAGGCTTTTTACAATCAACGCCTCAGGTTCCATTTTCCTAGGGCATACGGCGTGCCCTACCTTGGAAGAATTTTGGTTTACCACTGGAATCTTAAGTACCCCCGAAGGGTGGTCATGGAAACCACTCTGAGGCCAGAGTGGAGTAGAAGGTGTGTTCTTTCTGTAAAGAGTGTGACATCGGGACCCCATAGCCAGCTGTGCTCACCTGTGCTGACTTCGGTAATGAGTTCAGCTGAGTTGTGGCAACCCTGTACTATGCTCCTTGTCCAATGAGAGAGGTCCCTGCTGATTTCAGCCCTGAAGACGTGGGTCTCAATCCCCTGCCTGGTACCAGTTCGTGTTGCAAAGGACAGATCGACACCAGCCTGAGGCGATCCTTTCCCTGGGCCCGAGTGGACCAACCTGTTTAGAGAGAAAAAAAGACATCATCAAAGTGGAAACCACTTTCTTCACTGGACATGTCACCTGGTAAAAAAGCCCCCAGATTGGTGACTTGCTCTCTGTCATTCTGATCTGAAACCCAAGGGTTCATTGTACCCGCTGTGTTCACCAGAGTTCTCTGCCAGCCCCTCACCCAGTTCCCCTACGATCATAGGGTGAGATTAGGAAGTGCCCAAGTGCCAAGGACTCTGCACCTGGTCAAATAGGCAGAAAAGTCAAATGATGTGACTTTAACTACAGTTAGACAAATTCAGCTGCGCGCACTCATCCAAAAAGAATTATGTAAATGAGAGAGAGAACGGCTTAAATAATGTGTGAAGTTTCCCCCACCATTACATTCCTGGGCGTATATAGGTCCCAGTGTGAGCATGCATGAGAAGGGAAAGGAAAGCTACTGTTTCCTGGGTTAGACTTTGTCCCCGTTTCTTGTAGTTGGAGCATCTGGCTGCACTGAATGTGCATCTGAGTAGGCATTTTTCATGCACATGCTCTCCAAACGCAAGCAAACAACCATGGGACTCCATTGAAGAAGCAGCAATCTGTGTACCTGTGTTAAAGCTTGAGAAAAAACTGGCAATGCTGGACTTAAGGAGGCAAATTGTACTTTATGGGAGATGTAAGGGATTTTCATGAGCAAATTTTGACTGTACACATTGTTCACACTCATTTTACAGCTTATGTTCAGCATAGGACATGATGCCCACAGTAAATATTTTCTGAAAAGCCTGACTTTGCAGAGTGCAAACTTCTGAGCGGCCACTGGCTTCTACTTCCCACTTGCCTCCTATAAAATACATTCGGATCTCTCAGGCTCTCTCCTACTTCTCGCTATCTCAACCTCCTTTGGGGACAGACTATCATATCAATAATTTGCAGGATAGCGAAAGTATAATTTAAGAAATGTTACTTCTCTCCAGGGTCTTTGCATGTTCAGCCTTATCTTTTAACACAGAAAGAAATGCTTTACCAGTTGCTACAGAAATGTCAGGTGTGTCTATTCACTTGGCGGATGGGAGAATTATTTTCTTAGGCAAAGCACTTGTTATCTCTAGATTAAAAACCGCACAAAGGAAACCCCAAAGCTTATTTTCTGTTGTAAGCTTAAATATTATAGACCAGAGTTAACAGCTGAAGAAAAAATATTGTAGCCTGTTGAATTTCTAGCAACAAGCTTGCTGTATAACTCTGAGGAGCTTTTTTAACTGATAAAATTGGAGTTAGCGGTTTGCAGTGCCAACTTGAAGAAAAAAAAATGGTTGCAAAACCTTTTGGTTGTAAAATTCTTGGAAGATAGAGAAGTGCCCAAGAGATAACAACTGTTGGCAAGAATGTGGAGAAAAGGGAACTCTTGTACACTGTTGGAAGGAATGTAAATGGTAATGCCATTATGGAAAAACAGTATATGGAGGTTCTTCAAAAAATTAAAATTAGGACTACTATATGACACAGCAATTCCACCTCTGAGAATGCATCTGAAGGAAGGAAAATCAGCATCTCAAAGAAATACACATGCTTCCATTTCATTGCAGCATTACTCACATTGCAGCCAAGAAATGGAAACAACCCAAGTGTCCATAGATGGATGAATGCATTAAAAAAAAAAAAAAGTCACACATACACACACACACACACACACACACACATACACTGGAATATTCAGTTTTTAAAAAGAAGGAAATGCTGCCATTTGCGACAATGTGGATGAAACAGGAGGGAATTATGCTAAGTGAAATAAGCCAGACAGGGAAATACCTATGAGCTCACTTATATGTGGAATCTTAAAAAAAAAAAAAATTAAAAGTCGAATTCACAGGAACAAAGCATAGAATGATGGTTGCCAGAAGCTGGAGACTGGGGAAACAGGATGTTAGTCAAAGGGTGCAGACTTTTAGTTAGAAGATGAATACGTTTTGAGGATCTAACGTATACCTTGGTGACTGTAGTTAATAATACTGTATTGTATACTTGAAATTTGCTAACAGACTAGATCTTAAGTGTTCTCACACATAAAAAAAAAAGGGTAACTATGAGGTGATAAATGTGTTGATTGTGGTAACCATTCCACATGTGTATCAAATCATCATGTTGTACATTTCATATATAATGTTATTTGTCAATTATACCTCAATATAAAAAATAATAAAAGAGAGAAATTTCATGAATCTCATTGAAAGGAGGCTAGGACAGTGTGAGGGCAAATGTCCGCCTACATGAGTGCTCACACACAGGAATTTCACTTACAGAGACTCATCCAGTTCATCAGGAGGAGAAGGGCATTTTGTAATGAGAAGTGAACAAGAGGGGCTGGGAAGCTGCTAGAAGTTTCAAAATCTAGGTGAGGGTAAAGAAAACGGGGCATTCTCAAAAGCCCAATGTAGGTTTTGAAATGGATTGAGGGTCAGATAAAAATTTATTAAGAAAGGTTTATATAAAAAGCACATATTTATATCGTGTTTTGTTAATCGTTCAGAAGTATTTTTATACTTAGTGGTGTTTAAGTTTCAGTTGCTTTAATAAATCTATCTATTTCCTCCTTTTTAAAATCTTACAATCGGTATCAGTTTGGCATATCGGACAGACTGCGGGGTAAACTGAAAACTGACATAGGTGTGGGAAGCATAAAAACCTGCATTAGAGCCCCATTCTGCTATTCTTTAAATGTTCCAAGAATCCTACCTCATAAATTCCTGTTGAGATCCAGTGAAATACTCTACGTAGTGTATGTAGCATAGAACCTAGCATGCTGTTTGTACTCAGTCAGTATTATTTCCATCCTTTGTCCCTACCCTCAGTTTTCTTATTTTAAAAGCATAATTCCTGCCTCATAGTGTCAAAACGCTATTCAAAAAAGTCATTGAGATGGGAGAGCCAAATTGGGAAATGTTGCCTAACAATGCCCAAGACAACATGAGCTGCTACGTTTAGATGTCTGTGATCCAAGAAGGTAAGGAAGAGGCAGCTCTACATCTCCAGGCTAACAGTAAGATGGACGGGTGGCTGAAAGAACAGATAACTTGTAAAGTCGTGCTTTGCTGCTTGATGAAATCAATGTTTTTGAGATCTGAGCCTGAATAAGGTGCAGTGGAAGACCAGAGGGAGTGGCATTTGGAAGAGAGCATCCTGCTGCTTCAAAGAGCTCAAGTCCTTGCTGGGAAGACTACACCCCAAGGTGCTAGAAGGACTTAGTATGTAAGTAAAACCCGGGGCATCTTTGGGAAATCAGGGGGAACAAGTGAGGGGCTGGAGGGCTGGGAAAGGGGCAACTGGATCCTGATTTTCCAAACATGGAATAAAGTAGATTCTGTGACCCTGTTTCCAGGCAAGAGCCTGTAGTGGATTTTCCAAGTTTTCATATTTTACTTTGGAAAAGAGGAAACGGGTCTTCCTTCTACTCAGCTGTTTCATTCAGAAGCAAGATGACTGGAAAAGTAATAGATGGAAGTGAATATTCAGAAAGAAAGGCATTGACAAAGTTTCCTTTAATGTTCATTTGGACTTGAAAGAAATAAGTATTGGGTACACAGCTTATCAATGAGATGAGTATTTTGTTAAGTAACCATAGCCATTAAGAGTCCATTTAATTAGAGATGAAGGCAGAGCTGTGGCCTCAAACCTAACCTGTTAAACGTTTTTTAAAGGGTTTTATTAAAACGTAGCTAACGTACAATATTATATTTCAGGTGGGCTCCATAGTCATTCAACACTTATATACCTAGAGAAGTGATCACCATGGTAAGCCCAGCAACCATCTGACACTATATTGTGCTATCACAATATTATTGACTATATTCCACATGCTGTACATTACATCCCCATGACTTATTTGTTTTATACCTGGAAATTTGAACCTCTTATTCCCCTTCACCTTCCCCCCGCCCTACCCCCAGTTTTTAATTTTTCAATTATAGTTAACATTCAACATGATTTTATATTAATATCAGGTGTACAGCACAGTGGTTAGACATTTATATAATTTAAGAAGTGATCCCTCTGACTAGTCTAGTGCCCCCTGGCACCATACACATTTATTGCCATAACGTTGACTATATTCTCTATGCTGTACTTTACATCCCATGATTCTTTTGTAACTACCCATTTGTACATCTTAAGGCCTTCACCTCACTCTGTAAGCCTTGTTGTTCATGGGTCCAAGCTGACAGCTCCTGGGTAGGATGACGCTGTGGAAACAAACTTAGTGTTGACAACACAGCCATCAGCTGGCGCTCAAGGCCAAGCATGGCATGATCTCCTTAAGGTAGGTGCCCCTCCTCTGGCTCCCAAGCGTCATTATCAATCCATATCTCCACTGTTTTAAGATGCCCACCTCATCCTCCTTACTAGACTTCAGTGTCCTTCAGGGTAGGAGTTTTGTCCCATTTCTCACAATTCAATGGTGTCTAGCATCCTACCTAACACATGGGAGGTGTTCTATTCATATTAGCCGAATAACTGCATGAATGCAATTTTTCAAAGCATTTTCAAAAGGCGAGTTTAAGTTTGCAAAGGAAAGCACGCGCGCGCGCGCGCGCACACACACACACACACACACACACACACACACTCGACTCGACTTATTTTGAAATGCTTTGGAATTGGGAGCCAATGAAAGGTCTCCTAATGGACTCTTCATCTGCAGACCACATTTGAGAACACATTACTGTAGCCAGATTCTGGCCATTAAGTATTAAGTAAATGTCAGCTGGACATTAAGATGTTAAAAGTCACCATTTGGACATTTGAAAAGGTAAGGGCTAAGGATAGAATCTGCCTGCCTGAGTTCTTCCATTCTGCCAGAAATAGCCTTTTTATATTCCTCCCAAGATTCTTGCCAGTCTCAGGAGGGACTCTGAAATAGCTATTATTTATCTTTCAATTATTTTACATTTTCAGCTATTTGTGTATCCTTTAAAATACGACCATCTGTCTCTTATCTGCGGTAGGAGCTAAAAACTACAGCAACC